ACACTTTTTATACCAATTAATTAGATTATGGTACAGGATCAATCAAAGTGTGTTGTCAGGAAAAGATTAATTACTTCCTTTTTGTGAATTAATTAGTAGTGTATTAGAGTGCTAAGCAAACCAAAGCTAGTGAAATAAAAATGAATGTTAAACAGATATGCTAACCTGAGAAATACTTTAGCAGATTTATCAATTTTAAGTAAATGACAAAGTATATTCCTCTTTATTTTAAATATAGAACTTCTTTAGCTTTAAATGTTCTTGGGACTTTTGTTTTTACCACAAAAATGAGTATGTTATAATAAAGAAAGAAAAAACATTAACAAATAATTTTAAAATTTGATGAAAAATTTCATGCATTTTGTTTCTTTAGGCTCAAATACAAGACTGTGACATAACTATAACATTCTCAGATAGAGGGACTTCCTGTGTGAAATTACTATATCCAATGAAAAGGGTTTTTTAAATTTGTTTTTCTTAGTTGTTGACAGATCTTTATTTATTAATATGTGGTTCTGAGAATCGAACCAGTGCCTCACACATGCCAGGTAAGTGTGCTACTTCTGAGCTACAGTCCCAACCCAATGAAGAGGTTAGTAAAAATGAAGGTGACATAACTTTCAGTTGAAGAAAATTGAAACACTGATTAATCAAAGTCCCTTTCCCACTCACTTTTAGAGAATTTTTTCAGAAATGAAATGATTTGTCGCTGGTAAACTGAAGACAGATTTGAGGCTCTTCAGAAACTTCCCATTTATATCATCATTTCACTTCCTAAGAAGTATGGATATTATTTATGATCAGTCAAATTACAACATGGCAGTAGCTCAGTAGAAATCAGTACTTACCCTTTTCTCTCCAATTTATCCATAGTGAATGAGTAGTAATATATTCTTAATTTAAGGGGAAAAAATCACAAACACTGGCTTCATATGCATGAGGTATTCATAAATCTCTGATGTTTAATGTGGTAGACATTTGCAAATACTTCTATGAGTCTCAGAACTAATTCTGAATTGTAATTCCAGAACAAAGTTTTACAAAATAAAGTTGGAAAACACTTTAAAATCTTCTCTTCTCAAATTATATTTTAACATAGACATGAACATAGAGCCATATATAGTTTATTATATTTAGAATAGTCTACTAAGGATTACAGGGTCCTCACAACTCTAGATTAATACTATACTGAACATCTAAAATTTCCAAAATATAGTTATGCCCTATTCTTTATGAGAACTATACACTGTGTTTCCATGAATATGTCTCCAGAAAGTCTTTGAAATCCAGATACTACTTGTTACAGTATGCACAATAAACCTAAAACAACCACTAATGTTATTTTGGGGGTAGGTTTCTGTTTGGTTTTATTTTTACCAAATTAGCTAACTTCAAAGACTATGGTCCATTTTAAATGGTATACATAATTTGTTGGGGCTACTGTAGGAGGAATTTCCTGGAATATGAGACTGCTATCCTAAGAAGACAAAATTGCATAGAATATCACAAAGTAAGGAAATTGCAGTTGTGAAATTTAAAAATTCACAAAGCCTTCAAATGGAGTGATATGTTTTTATTAAGTTTGTCTCCTGAAAAATTAAAAATTGCATTGAGCTTTCTTATTTCTCATTTATCTAAAAAGGACATTTAGTATTCTGAGCAAAAGACTTTACAGAATGCATTGTGATAATTTCTTCATCTCATCTGCAATTCTTATCAAGCAGGGAACTATATTTTTAACATAGTATTAATAAATCCCTCTAGCAAAAATTTTTTGGGAAAATCTTATTCATGAAAGTTCTATTTCGATCTGTTTTTGTGAACCTAAAAGGGATTTCAGAATTATATTCTATTTTGGGAAATTCATTAGTTGGAAAGAAAGCAGATTGAGGATGTAATGAATTTCAAAATATGAGATGGGAACTGCATAAATTAATTCCATTGCTTTAGGACAACATTTACTTCCTCTAACAGTTTACATTTTTATTTGTGGTGCTATTGAGTAACACTGCACAGTTTACTGACATCTGCTCTATGTCACAAAGCTCATTATTGTGTACTATTTCAGAGCTTTAGACTTTCTTTTGGAAGATTCATGAGTATTAGCCTAAAGAAGTTACTTTGGTGAATTCTGCATCAGTTATTTTCTTTCTTTTTAATCAAAACATAATACATACATACATACATACATACATACATACATACATACCACATATACTATGTTACAAATCTCACTAGCATGCTATATTAAAAAACATAATTTCACTTCAAGGTAAATATTGTGCCTCTTGTGCTTAAAATACTATTATGCCTCTGTGCTTAAAATGCTAGAATTCTTCTCATCCAAAAAATGGAACACCTAACCAAACATTATCATGAAACATGATTTATAGGGAGGTTTCAGGTTTGGTAGGAAAGTAGGTTGTTAATATCATTCATGGTAAAAGTAACCTTTTAACATTGACTTAATATTGTTAACCTTTTGCAGAAACAAATTCAGTTTTAAATATTTCTATACTTCGTATAAACTTATTAAAATAACTGTTAAAATGTAGTATTTGTCTTACTGATGTTATAGCTTATGGCCAGTTCCATTTAAAAAATAGAGCTTATTTATCATAGTTCTTTATTAACTTGTAATTTACAGTTGCTTCATCCTCTGGAGTAAATATCAATAAAAGAACTCACACTCAAAATAATTGTGTCAATATGATTAGAGCAGAGAAATATTTAGTCACTAGAAGAAACAAGCCTCAAAAAAATAAAAATAAAAAACCCTGTATATATGTCAGCTAATACATTGTTGATGATACTTACATAATTAATTAAAAATAAAATCAATTCCTGTAAAGAATACTGAATTTAAATAATTTAAACAACTTTTAATACTAGATATAATTTGGTTCAACAAAGGTATTTTGAATTTCACATGTCTTATAATTTTAATGTATACTTATTTTCATATTACTATCAAATATATTCTAATTTGGTCTCATTTAATTTTAAAATTTATTTCAGGGTTAGAACCATGGATGTTTACTCTGAGTTATTCTTTAAATGTTGCTGTGCAATTCTATATCAAAGTGTCTTTGTAACATAGGTTATATGAAAAGGAATTAATTATTTCTAGTTTACAAAAATAATTATTCTCTCTATTCTTATCCATTAACATGGTCTGATAGGTCAGTAATTAAAATGGTAATTTATGAAGGGGAGAAATCAAGGACACCTATGCTTAATGCATATTTGTTACTTATAACCATGTTCTTATTAGAGATTGGCTTTGAGTTATTATAGTAGTAAATTATATAATCACAGCTCTGTATTTCTAAAAAAAGTTATTATGCTGTATTGTACAATGTAAATGAGGTAAACTGATGATGCATGTTACAGTCAATTTGTAATCCTTGAAATTAATGTTGATTGCCAGGCGCAGTGGCGTGCGCCTGTAATCCCAGTGGCTCAGGAGGCTGAGACAGGAGGATTGAGAGTTCAAAGCCAGTCTCAGCAAAAGAAGGAGCTAAGCAACTCAGTGGGACCCAATCTCTAAATAAAATAAAAATAGGGCTGGGGATGTGGCTCAGTGGCTGAGTTCCCCTGAATTCGATCCCCAGTACTCCCCAAAAAGAAAATTAATACTAATCATTTATTCTAAGTATAAAATTTAAAATGGAGATAGTAGTAGATGTTTAGAACTTTTTGGTCTGGGTTTCTCGAATTTATCTAGTACTTTTATATTGTAAACACCTTTAGTATCCCACATATACACTTGCAAAGAAAAAAAAAGTCGATGCTAATTTATCATTCATTCTGTATGTTTAGTTTTAGGTTATACCTTGATGTTTAATCAATTTATTTCTCTTACAACGATAAGGAAGCCATTTTGTTCTAAAATCTGCATGTTTTATTTAAATTTATATAATCCATAATGCTTAATATAACCTTTTAATATTTTTAAATTATATTTCTTATTTGATATGATTATCTGGTTACTTGGTCCATTTCTTCATATTCTTCGTGATTTTATACCTGCCATTCTTCTCTATCACATATATGGTATGCTCTTTATTCTATACCAATTTTTTTATACTTTTATTTCATTTATATATTTTTATGTGGTGCTAAGGATCAACCCCAGTACCTCACACATGCAATAGGAGCACTCTACCACTGAGCCACAACCCCAGCCCTCCATACTCAATTTTATGTGCATAATTAATATCTGGGACAGATTATAATTTTTTGGAATTTTAATAATCTTCAAAGACATGTATACTTTATCAATTTTTATTTCTTCAAATTATAAGGCAGAAGAATGCACATTATATGTTTATGATAATTAATACAATGAAATTTTTAATGTCAAATTCATGATCCTTTTTAAGAATTCAAGATCTTTGGAATTTGTAAAACTTAGCTTTTGTACCTTTTGTCTGGAGACCAAATCTGAACAGTATGTGATTGTAGTCCATTTTTTAAATAAGTGAATGAAAGAAAATAAAATGTTTGATTATATATGTGTATACATAAATGGAAAATCCCACCTATGTCCAAATAAAGTATTATGCATTTCATGATAAATTTCATTTAGAATAGCTATGTTAACACTTTTTGAATAGTATCACTTCCTGCCTTTAAGTTATCTACCTATTTTTTTATGTTTACTTTTAAGAATGTTATTATTCATAGTAACATAATAAACTGTTCTATACTATTACAGCCATGACAGTTTGACTTGTTTCTTTATTGGTTCTTTTTAGTTACACATGAAAGTAGAATGCATTTTGACATAATTATACAAGCATAGAATGTATCCTTGCTTTACACAGGATCCATTCTTATTGATATACAAGATGATGAGATTCACTATGGTGTACTAATATATGTACACAGTAAAATTATGTCAGATTCATTGCACTGTCTTTCCTTTTTTTATCTCCCCTCCCTTTCAAATACAGTAAACCCTTTCATATTGAGAGACTGGCAAAGTGATTACTTACTAGATTCAGGATCAGAGTTGCCATCTCCTTCAGTACGGTTGTTGGGTGCAGCATGATCAAAGTACTCCTCCTGAGGATAGCCAAGGGGCAGAGCATGGGATGTGCTGGGAAGGCTGCCTGCATCATGATCTCCCAGTCCACCATCACTGCTGCTTTCCTGAGAGCCTTCTGGTAGGTGAAATGTGACACGTCGCTGGGACTGAAAAATAGAAAGAAAATTATAGGGTTTCAGCAATGATCCAAATAATTGCTTAATGCACCCAATTTAGAAAATGTATTATTCAGCTATCTAGTGTAGCCATATTAACATTATCCTGGGTTACAAACAATTTCAGGCTTTTGTGAAGAGGCAGATCTGTGTTCAAACCTGCTTTACCAGGCAGCAGAGTTGCTTCTATTGTGTATCTACCCAGGGCATATCCAAATTCAGAATGTCAACTTGTTGTGCCCAAATACCTATAAAACCTGACACTATCAGGTTTTATAGGTATTTGGGCACATAGGAAATCCTGATCATCATTGAAATGTACATTTATTTTGCTATCACTTGGCAATAATTAATTTTTTAAGATAATAAACATAAATAAATATTAAAAATATTGCTTTATCTGTAAGATTATGGTAAACCAAAACAGTAAATCAAATTTACTTAAATCAAATTTACTTAATCCTGCAGGCTTAAAAATTAAAAGTACAAATCATATTTTAGAATAATCTTAGGGAAGATATTTGATTAGAATTCATTTAAATTGATTTTACTCTTAAAAAACACAAATAATAGTCACATGGTATGGATAACAATTTTAACAGTTGATGGGAACTATAAAAACAAGCTATATATATGTGTGTGGGTGTGTGTGCGCGCGTGCATATATAAATATATATATATATGTATATGCACACACATATATATGATGGTAATAATAGCAGAATATAAAATATAAAGTTAAAGCATTTATTTCAAAAATAAGAGGATTATGATACCTAAGAAAGGTGATACCGGCACCAGATGAAGCAGCATTTGCATTTCAATATTGCTACACACAGTAGTCTCTGAAGACAATCTTCCTAATGAACCTTACCTCTTGCTATTCAGACCAGTATATAGTTTCCACCCATTGAATCTAGACAGGCCTGTGTAATCAAACCTTACAGTTTTTGCCTTCCTTTCTTTGGACTACTCACTATGGGGAAGACAAGTTACATTGAAAGATGACTGTCTACTGGGAGACAGCCATACTCTGAGGAATCTCAACCAGCCATGTAGAATGAGTATATAAGAAGAAATTACACTGCCCAGAGAGGCCCAGCTGTTCTAGCCACACCAGCACAGGTGTCACATGTGTATTTGAAGAATTTGTTTTAGACTTCCTGCTGATAACCTCATTGGAGCCACCTTTAAAATTTGGACCAACTTATTCAAGGTACCAGTCATTCTGGAGCAAAGATAGTCATTTCTGGTATTCATTGCCCATATTCCTAACCTAAAAAAATTGAGAAACTTATTTGTTTCTATGTTCCCCCCAAAATAGGCATGATTTGTGATGTAGCAGATAAACCAAAACACTAAACTATTAGAAGCATGAAATATATCAATTAGAAACAATTATTTATATACATCAAAAGTCACATGAATTTAGGTACTAGACATTCATATGTCAGAATGAAAATGCTTTCAAACATTCAGGTTAGACATTGAGAGATTCTTTCCAATGGACATATGAAAATATTTGTTTTCATTTTTCAGTATAATAATATATAATAAACTTTATGGATATATATAATATTTAAGGAGCAAATTTGAGTGTGCCTTTATTCATAGTCATTATCTATATGTTAAATTTTCAAAAAATATGAAGAAATTACTAATATATATGTAATATATAATATATGGAATATGTTTACAATCATAGAATCATTCTTTCTAATGAGAGTCTGCTTATTTTATATTTGTAAAAATATAAATTTATACTGATGTTTATTCAAATATCATAATAATTTTGTAAGGAGTGGATGGTGATGTTGAGGTAATACTTAGAAGAATTAGTCATGCAGAAAATCATCTGAATAATAGAAAATCCTGTTGAAACAGTTATACTAAGAAATTCAGAAGGCAGTTTTTTTTGGTTTTGAATTGTTTTATTATGTTTTTGTTGTATGTGTTATATCACAAGGAAGCCATGGAGAGTGACACTGAATGTGTTATGTGGTTAAACTACAGTGAACCTTCTAGGATTTAAAACATTGCTCAGGCCAGGTGCAGTAGTGCACACCTATAATCCCAGTGGCTCAGGAAGCTGAAACAGGAGGATTGAGAGTTCAAAGCCAGCCTCAGGAAAAGCAAGGTTCTAAGCAACTCAGTGAGACCCTGTTTATAATAAAATACAAAATAGGGCTGGGGTGGGGATGTGACTCAGTGGTTGAGTGCCCCTGAGTTCAATTCCTAGTACAAAACAAACAAATAAACAAAATCAAAACAAAAAACATTGCTTAGGAAAGTTATAGGGCTGAAATCACTTTCTGTGCTTTTGGTTGCTCAATATCCTTCTTTCTATTAATCTTTGTATATGAAAACAGATGTTGAAAAGAGGAAAATAAAAGTTTTATGTATTTTATAATCATGTTTATAATAAAGCCATAATATGAATGGCACACTGATTTTTGATGTTTACATCTATCAGTCAGGTAACCATTGAGTCATGTTAGAGAGCTTTGAGATACATGAATTCCTTTGCCTGTCAGTTACCCTACTGATTATTAGTACTAAAGATATTTAGTAGCATGGGCAACAAAATAAGAACCCATGCTGTATTCTTTCAAAGCAACAGTTTCATACAAGTTTAGAAAAAGCTTAGCTTCTTACAGTGTAAAGTTTAAAAGCACTAAACAAGCTCTTGGGACCATAGTTTGCAGACCCCTAATCAACAAGGCAAATTTTGTCAATCCAGCACAGCTAGTTTTGATTGTTCTCTCTCCATAAGCCAGAAACTTATTTAGATTTAGGCTGTCATTTAATTCCTCAAATTATTTGATTGTTAACATGTTTTCAGCTACCTCAAGATTTATATATAAAATTTTAAAAAATTAAGAACCAGGAAAATAGCAACTGTTAAAAATGCCTGAAAAAATTATTGTTTAGAAATGAATCTACAATTATCTATTGTATGTAAAGTCAAAAATAATACTTAACATATAAAGAAAAAATATATGTTAAATAAACCAGTTTGGCACGAGACTAATTTATAATTGCTTTCACAACAAGAAGTAACTGTTCAGGGATATTTTAATTTTCTGTTAAGTCTCAAGTAATATATTTCAGTATGTATATTCTGGACACATAATATGTTATATGTCTAACATGTGTCTGTATGTGTGCACACATGCATATAAATACTTTTTATCATTTAAAGCATTTAAAAACATTAGATCTAGAAAATAGAATATATAAATAAGAAAACACTAGTGACAAAAAATGAATCTGAAATTTAAGATGTGCTGCTTAAACATTCATATATCTAAACAATTGATATTCCCAGTGGATAGCAAGTATGTTTGGGCCAAATAATTGAAGTAGAGAAGTACATGTTACTTTTTGATGTAAAGGAAATGGAGTTTTCTGTTCACTTGTTTATCTACACAGAAAATAGCAAGGCAATTTAAGTAAAATGATAACCTATCCCAGGACAACTGTGCTAGTTACTTACTAAAAGCCATTGCAAAGGAATGCCCCGGAATGAACCTATAATTAGTTTGGCTGTGTACTCACCTCCAACCCTTTTGACACTCATAAATTGAATTCCATTAGGGACAGATAAAAGAAAATGAGCAGGTTTGTGAGGACCCCTTTTAGTGAACATAGCTCACTGTTTTTTTATCCTTTCCTAAAGGCACATAAAGACACGACCAGTACAACCATGACTTCATTCTTAAAATGTAGTTTGTCCATTTGACATTTTCCCATATACATTTTTAGCTGTATTTTTTTAAATTTATTTTTATGTGGTCCTTAGAATCTAACCCAGTGCCTCACACTCTACCACTGTGCTAGAACCTCAACCCCTCCCATATACATTTGGAGGGTTTGAATACAGCACAGACATATTAATAAGACTTCCTGCTTATGTTAACTTTAACAATTATTAGGAGACTCACTGTGCATCATGGTGCATTGTCCACTCATGTTATTTATGACAAAATGATCTAATATTCAACCATATATTGGGGATTTGATTTTTTTGGTCTGTTATACTGTTTTATCTATTTCTATAATCTATAGAAGGCAAGCAAATATAATCAATTAAATGTGATTTTATTATTCAGTGAATCCACAAAAAGCTCTATATTTGTATTTGTGTGACTAATTATGTTGTCCACTTCTTTATAAAAATCTCCATGAAATATTGTCTTAATTGGAACTACTAGACATTAATTTTTGAAAAATTGTTTAAAGGCTTCTGAAACTTGACTTTTGATGAGATAAGAACATTGAGCTCTTTTTCCCATCATTGCTATAATTATTCCTATTTCATATTGCATTTTATAATTTGTGACATTTCTGGAAAGAAATGAACATAAAATAATTACATGAACTTTAGTAAATTATGAATCCTCTATAGCAAATTTTGGAAACTTTATTTAACTCATTTGACTTTTAGTTTTTCATGGATGATTGTAATGCATTCCACTATTATCATGTATGTAAGAAATAAAAAAAGAACTAATAAAAAAAGAAAACTTCATGTCTGGTATTATTTTCTGCACAGATTCATAAAACAGGGGTATTCAAAACACAAATATATTCATCTTATTTAATATGTACATATATATATATATATATATATATATATATATATATATATATACTATTTCATGAAAATCATTCCTTATGACTTACTGAGAAAAAAAATAATCATTTATGTGTTGAAGATGATCACTGTGCAGTATAAACAGGCTATTATGTTAATGATCATGTCATAATTTGTCTGTCTAAAGCCATTCAAGGAAGCTGTGGCATACAAATTAAAACAAATTTACTGTCTATAATGGTGACTTTATGGGATGAAAATAAATCATGGATTGTTCATGAATAACTGTCTTCCCTATATGGTTAGTTGTTTTCTGCCAGTAACAGAGAAATCACACATGATGCTTCCCTTTAAAATCTATACACCTCATTTTTAGCTCAAATTAATCAAAATT